TTTCACTTTTCTTTAAATAATTTTTTTTAGAAAGTATTTATTTATTTAAGTACCGTTTACGTCCAGTGTGGGGCTCAAACTCAACCCCGAGACCAAGAGTCGCTTGCTCTTCTGACTGAGCCAGCCAGGCACCCCTCACTTGTCTTTTTAATTGATCCCTCAGTGTATGTACACTAAATGGTGCAATACCATAGCTATATTTTACTAAGAGTTTTTTGATGAGTGTGCTTTACAATTATCTTTGTAATATGCTCATTAACAATTGTTAATCCAGGGGTGCCTGGGTGGCTCAGTTGGTTAAGTGTCCAACTCTTGATTTTGGCTCAGGTCATGATCTCCGTGCTGGGCTTGGAGTCTGCTTAAGATTCTACGTCTCCCTCTGCTCCTCCCCTACTCTAAAAAAACAAAAACAAAACCAAGAAACAGTTACTAATACAGATAATATACCTGCTTTTACATGTGTACCTTCACTGAAGCCACCTTATAGCCTCTTCATGGTGTCTGTCCGTGTTATCTACTGCTGTGTAACAAGCCACCCCAACACCTAGTGGCTTAGAACAAGAATCATTTTCCTCATAGATACGAAATTTGGGTGGGGCTCTGCTGGGTTAGCTCATCTCTGCCCCGCATGGGGAGCTCAGCTGGGACTGGAGGATCTGTTTCCAAGATGGCACCCCCACATGGCTACGAGTTGCTTCGGGCTATTAGCTCGAAGCTCAGCCACGTGCCTCACTTACTCTACATGGGCCTTCCTCCGTGTGGTGGCTGGGTTCCCAGAGAAGTAATGGAATTTGCCAGTCTTCTCGGGCCTGTGCCCAGAAGCCAGTGTGGCTTCACTGCCACCATGTTCTTTTGGTCAAAACAGTCCCAGAAGCCACCCTCATTCAAGGCGAGGGGACATAGACCTCACATCTTGATAGGAATCGTCATAAACTTTGTGGCCATCCTCAGTGTACCACGGTTCATCGCGCAGGCTTCTGGACGCTTCTCCTTTTCCTGATAGTCATCTTATTTGAAACTGAAACATAGCCGGTGTTAAGGGGGCTCGTCTCATACATTTTCATAGTTGCTTTATTTCTAAACTACAACGAAGGGCTATAACACACTGAACATTTGAAGCTAGATTGCATTATCTTTTTTTTTTTTTTCTGGTGGTGAGACTTTTCTGCATCTAATTAATTTATAATGATTTGGAATGACTTGAGAGACTGGTCTGAGATGGTAATATCTCCAAGAGAATGAAACAAACAGGTGACAAATTTCTGAAACATTTTGCAATGAGCATGAAACTCGGGGCTTTCTCCAGAGGAGCAGGCAAATCAGTATGCAGATTTGAGAAAGGAGTGAGACAGGGTATTCTGCTGGTCTTTTCTTCCCTGCTTGAATACATCTGTTACGTTTTATTTCAGGGTTGATGGATTAGTCATGTGGTGTACTTGGATTAAATACTTGGGCTAAAGCCTCTCATATATTTGCCCATCAGCTTCACTTGGTGGTATATTTACATTCGGTCTGGATGCCAGATTGAACTAAATGCTTCTTTAAAGCCTGCAGTCTGACAAAAATCTTTCCCCAGTCAGCATTTTTACTGTATTAACAAAAATTAGCATCTGCAGGGAAATGATGCAGCCTACGGGTTTCTTTTCTAGGGAAGAATCCAATTTAGCTTTTAGGGATGTTGTTGTAATTGGTCAGGGAACCGAGGATCCTAACTGAGGCGGGAGCCCGGGCGGGGAGTGGATGCTCCAGACTCCAGAGCTTTCCTCGTCCCGTCTGAGTCATCCTGCCCTCACCTGAATCACAGGACGCCTGGTTGATGGAGTGGATGAATACTCTTTTTGAGGTTACGTTTTTGTGTAATCAGCAGTTTAACATTTCCCTGCCACCTGGTGGGGCCACACACACTTTATTTCCTGTTTCTTAGGTTTGAGAATTGTGGGGTCCCTTAATTTATTGTCAGCCAGTGTTCACAAGAAGGAAACCCATAGGCAACATGGTTTACTTTAATGATTTAATATTGAGAGGATGGCTCGAAGGAAGTGGATTTTCAAAGCACCTCACCACCACCGACCTGCTGTGTGATTGTTCTCGATGTAAGAATGGGGAGACTAGGGTAGGAATGGGGGAGAGGATAGGATTATCTATCTCTTAGGGTTGTGGTGACAAAATGCAGGTAAGCTATCTAGCGCATGCATTAGTTATCTGTTGCTGTGTAACAAAACACCCCTCCAGCCCTCCACCCCCCCACCCCTGAAATTTAGCAGAGTGAAACAACAGACATTATCTCAAAGTTCTGTGGATCAGGAGTCAGAGAGCGGCTGTGCTGGGTGGTTCTGGCTGGGGGTCTCTCAGGAGGCTGCGTTCAAGGTGGTGGCCAGCACTGCAGTCCCCTAAAGGCTGGATAGGAGTGGGATCTGCTTCTAGGCTTGTGCACACGGCTCTTGGCAGGTATCTGTTCCTTGCCACATGGACAAGGAACTCTCCATAGATGCCTGGATGTCATTGCAACATGACCCGAGTGAGTGATGAGAGAGAGGACAGCCTCTTGGTGGGTGAATGCTACAGTCTTTTTATAACCTAATCTTGAAAATAACATCCTGTCACGTCTCCTCTGTTTGCTCTTAGTGAATCACTCAGTCCTGCTCTCACCCAACAAGGAGGGGAATGAGCTCCAGCTCTTTGGAGGAAAAGTAGCAAAGAATTTGTGAGCCTATCTTTTAAAACCACAGTACAGTTCTGGGTACATAGTAAATATGCAGTAAATGATTAGATGTTAGGAGTAGTTTAGCAGATAAATTCACTACTTGGTGATTCACTTTCTAGACAGACTTTAGCTATACCCCCATCTTTATTTGGGGAACAAAAGGAATTTGGGGCTCTACAGATTGGAGATTACACCCAGGAGACCTCCACAAAGTGAGGATTTCTTATCTTTCATTTTCTGTCTCTTGGGAGGGAGGATTCTTCCAGAGATCTCCTCTGTTGTGCTGGGTCAGTCAATCCAAAGACTGTAGGAGAGGAGCACACACCGCTTAAAATTCCCTTCTCTGGCGGGGGGCACATCTTCCCTGACACTGGGCGCGGTGTCTTCCTGACTTGGCAGAGGGAAGAAACCATGGGTACCACTGGGACCGGGCAGAGCATGTCCCCTGGGAGGGCTCCCTGCTCCTCTTGCCCCCAGCAATTTTAAATCCCAAGAGCAGAGATGATTTTTTAAAAAATAAATGTATTTATTTCACTATGGAGTGTAACCACAAATTTGGACAAAGAAAAATGCCTCCACAAACCTAATATAACTACTGTTGACATTTTGTGAGATGTCCTTTCCAGAGTCTTCCCCGTCTGTGGCTTTCTAGTTTTACACAGTTATAAGTAGTTCACAACTACAGTCTCATGGTCTGCTTCTTTTCACTTGGCTTTGTCACACATGTATTTTTATGGTATGGTCTCTCACCATCTCTGAGAGGTTTTGAGAGCCGTGTAATATTTTATTGGGTGAATGTCCCATGATTCTCTTATTTTTTTTCCTCATTAACTCCCACAATCGGTTGAGTAATAAAGATATTACTATTTTTATGTATTGTATTCTGCTGTCAGTATTTTACCCATGCTGTCTGCCTTTGAATTTTTATCCTTTTCTTTAAACGGTCACATTAGTTAAGTATGGGCGAGGGGTGCCTGGCTGGCTCGGTCAGCGGAGTGCTTGATCTCGGGAGTTGGGAGCTCGAGCCCCACGTTGGGTGTAGAGATTACTTAAAAAAAAAAAAGAAAAATTTCACCTGAATCTAGTATCACACTGTATGTTAACTAACTGGAATCTAAGTAAAAACTTAAAAAAATTAAGTAGACTGGAAATGTTAAACCTTCTCCTCTGGGGAATTACCCCATTGCTTCTGAAGTTGGACAGTCCTTTCTTTTACTCTAACGCCCCCTTGTCACCTCCCGTTTCTGTATGGCTTTTAAAAGTTGCTCTGGAATTGGGGCACCTGTGTGGCTCAGCCGGTTAGGCGTCTGCCTTTGGCTCAGGTCATGATCCCGGAGTCCTGGGATCGAGCCCCGCATCAGGCTCCCTGCTTCTCCTCTCCCTCTCCCTGCTGCTCTGCTTAGTTGTGCTCTATGAAATAAAGTCTTTTTAAAAATTGCTCTGGAATTAATTCTGAAGTATGAAATAGGGATTCGAAATGAGATTTATTTTCTTTTCCAAATTACTGACCAGTTTTACAAGGAGAATACCAGGGAAGGCATCTCTACTCAGCTGAACCATGGAGCCATGCCTTATGAAACACAAACAAGGCTGGCTGAAATTTTGGTGGAATGAACAATTTGGCAGGTGATGGGATGAGGAGCAGATGTCACACAGTTAGGCATCTGTGAATTATCTGTTGCAGCACCTTGAACTTTGATAGGCGCTCAGCTGCCTTCAGTGGCTGGTGAGGTGTGATGGGTGTGGCAGGGTTTGACATTATGGGAACAGTCCTAGTGAAAAGATTTGTTTCAAAAAAGGTCTTGGAAAAGGAAGCGGTGGGGGGTGGGTAGGTAACGGGGCCCAAATCTGGTTTACATATCATCTGTAAGAAATATGGTGAACCCAACCCTCTGGGACTAGGGAGAGATCTTTAGATGCTTCTGTCCCCAGGGACGCTCTGCCAAGTATTGTCACAGGGTAAGCACCTCCCCGGCAGGCTCGGGCTGCCAAGTGTCACTGGTCTAACATGACTGGAGGGAGAGGTATGTGCAGACAGGCAGTGGGCCTGGTGGTTGAGGCCAAGTGGATGTTTCCAGAAAAGGGTCATGGATCCAGAAAGCCCGCGTCCCTCGAATTCTGAGTGCATACAGGGACCCGTAAGAACCGATGAAAAAGCAATCATCTAGGGTCCTGGGCTTTGAAAAAAATCACCGTGATTATTTTCTGTACAAATGCTTTCCATGGCCTACTCCTACTTGGGACGAAAGTGCCTGACGGGAGTGTAGGAAGGGGGCGGATTCCTGGTGAGGAGGAAGACTGAGGGCATTGTCGTTGTCACACAAATGCAGTCAGAAGTGCCGCCTTGCACACGCTGAGCCAGGCTCCCTGTACAAACAGCACATCAATCCCCTTGGAAAGAATCCTCCCTGCAAACATGGGGACAGTTTTACAGAACTTGCTCAGGCAGACCAGAGGCAAGGTGTCGTTCAGGAGTTCAGAGGGCAGGAGCAGGGCAAAGGGAAGGTGCTGGGGAGGAGAGAGAAGACACAGATGCTGGAGATACGTCAAGGAGTGCCGTCTTGGGGCGGGTGCAGCTCTGAGTCCTGCTGCTCAGGCAGAAACCCGCGCAGATAAGGTGGCTTTGCAGGAGCTTGTCCCGTCTCTGCCTGGTGACGGCAGCCGGGCCTGTGATGATAAGCTGGGCTGGCCCAGCCTGGGTTCTGGAAACTGAGGTGGGGGCAGGCTGAGGCAGAGTGGCCCAGGCCTCAGGGGACCCAGACAGGGAGTCTGGGGTCAAATAAGCTCTCTGAGCTGATGTCTTCATCAGAGGCAACAGTCCCACCCGCCCCAGAGGGTTGAGGATGTTAGCGCTTAGGTTTAAAGTGCCTGCCACGAACCCTTTGACAATGAGGACAGTGCCACCTGTGACAGGGTCCGCCCGGTTCATCCGACGAGTAGACCCGAAGGAAATGGGACCGCTGGGCACTTGATGGGGACAGAACCGAGCCAGCCTGGTGCCCAGTGACAGTTCACTTGCAGACAAGCCTGGCTGTGGAAGGCGGCTCCCACCTGGCGGAGGATACCCTTCTCAGGATCCCGCCTCCCAGGCATCCAAGGACCAGACCAGAGGGGAGACCACTGCATGGCCACCCCTCAGAGTGGCCTTGGTCACCGTGATGATCTGAGTGGTCTCTGGTAACCATGCGTCGGTGGAACAGAGGGCTGGCTGGGAGCCACCTGGCGGTCACAGCTCCTCCTTGTTGCTGTCGAGGGGCTGGACCGGAGGCCCTGGGGCCTGGGAGCTACTTAGTGGCCCCTGGCCCTGGTCCTCACGGCGCCTGCCCACAATGGTGTAGTCCCGGAGGAGCCCGCTCTCCACTCCGTGCCGCCAGAGGCTCTCAGTCCCCAGGAGCCCCTGCATTCTCAGGTACCCCTGCTGGCAGAAGGGCGGCAGCTTCTGGTGTGTTAGGGTGAATAGGAAGCAGGATTCTACACAAAAGCAAAAGGAGATGAATGAGTAAGAGAGGTATGGGGAGAGGTATGGGACGCAGGGGTGCCGATGCCCCGGGGCCTCACCCAGGGCCCTCCCCCCCCTGAGCAGGGGAGCTGACTTTTGTGGGGATCTCACATCTGACCTGAGTAGCCATGGATCTCGTCCCTCCCTGAAGTTCAAAGGAGGGTGCCCTGACATTCTGGAAGAACGAGGCCCCAAATGGAAAGCAGACCACAGAAATGACTCAACTCCCAGAGATCTGGGCCCAACATGATGCTTTACAGGGAGCCAGTCCCACTGGGAGTTCAGCCATCGAGGAGCCGACCCTCAGCCTTCTCTTCTGGAAGTTGGCCTGGCTGGGGCCGGGAGCTCGGTGGTCAGTCCTGTTTTGAGCTCAGAGCTGCCTGCATGGCTTTATTCCCTCAGCCATCTCTGGGTTGCAAATACTGTGTGCACAGCACTGTTTTGAGCCCTGTGGGGGGTGGTGGTGGAAAGATAACACTGGTAAACAGCAGAAAGCTGGTACATGGGTCAAGTCAGCTCTATCAGGAAACAGCTGGGGGTATTTATTATTCAGAAATATGAAGAAACCAGAAGAACCAGAAGCAGTTCCTTCTGAGACTGAGGGTGGAAGTGAGAAAAAGTCTTTTAGCTAAGTGCTTATGTAACTTTGACTTAAAAAGCAGAAAAGATGAAAGAGATAGGGGCTCAGTCTTCTCAGGATGAGACAGGATGGGAAGGAGCAAACGTCCAAAAACTGTCTTAAGTCTTTTATCTCAAAACACCTGGGCACGTTACAAAGGATGTTGTGAGGCCCACATGGGTGAACAGGCTGTAAGGAGCCACACACAGAGATACTTCTAACGTCATTTCTGACTTTTGGCCCAGATGGCCCCTGGCAGAACAGCCCATGACAAGCCTCTCTGAGCAGGGAGGACGGCAGGTGCAGGGGGAGGATGGGAGAGCGGCAGCAAGGTGGCCTCTTGGCAAGCACCACCTTCTGATGACATATGTCACCCCTTCTGCAGGGGCCTGGTGGGGGGCAGAGAAGCCCAGCCGAGTCTGGGGCCAGCGCTAACAGCTGCACATCAGCTACGGGGGTGGAGGAAAGCCCACTCTGCCAGCTGGCCCTGAGTTGGGAGGATGCTTCCAAGCTGAAGGCAGGGATGCTTAGTGGCTTGTAGTGTTGAGCAGTGTCTAGGGAGTGGGAGCCAGGAGGCTCTAGGGCCTGGATGATGCATTCGTGGCAGCCGTAACCCAGGGCGGGACACGGTCCCTAATGGGCACGGCCATCTTTGGGTACTCCTGAAACCTCGAGAAACAGGCAGGGATTTTGTAGCTGAGATCTCTAGACCTGCATCGTGTCAATTTCCCAGGTGAGCATGCGGTCGTAGCTGAGTCTGCAGAATGCTAGCACTTCAAAGTTGCTTAGCCCTGTGCTATGAATTACCTCGGAGCATCCACATACATTTAGACAATTAGCCTACACTACTGTTTTAAGCCAGCTCTCTTAACATATGCATTTTATTTCCAAGTTGACCGAGGATGTTGCCTGGGGCGACAAGGACACCTGCTCTCTGACCTGCAGGCCAGAGACTGACCATCTCGAACCTGATTTGATTTGAATAATACCTGATATACAACTGGTGGTCAATATATGTTTGCTGAACAGAAAAGGGTAGGTATCCTAGGCAGTCAGGGGGTTTTAAAAAATACTGAAATTTGGCCTATTTATGTCAGTTCTCCCTCCAGGTCCTCAGACTTCTCTTGTCAGAGCTACCTTCCAGTTCACTAATCCTCTCTTCGTCTCTGTCTAATGTGCTACGTTATCTTTAGGTTGAGTTCCTTTTCTTTTTTAGATTTACTTATTTTAGAAAAAGACAGCATGTGAGCGGGGGGAGGGGTGGAGAGAGAGAGGGAATCCCAAGCAGACTTCTTGCTGAGTGTGGAGCCTCGATGCGGGGCTCGATCCCAGGACCCTCAGATCATGACCTGAGCCAAAATCACAAGTTGGATGCTTAACTGGCTGAGGCCCTCAGGCGCCCCTAGGTTGAGTTTCTAGTTACACATTTTTTCATTTCCAGAAGTTTTATTTGGGTCTTTCTGAATGCTGCCCAATTATATTTTCGATAATCTCCTTTTTCATTTCTTTACATATTTTAGACAGACTTTGTATCCTCTGTTTGTAACTATTCCAGTTCCCATAGTCTTTTTGGTTTGATCCAGCAGTTTGTTGTTTCTGCTAATGCTCCCTCTTGGCATTTTATGTCCTTTTGTGTTAAGTGCCTTTTGTTTGGGGGTGGGGGGTGGGTTCAACTTACTTGGAACTTTATCTGTGGGAACTTTTTGAGCCCTAGTTTTTTTTTAATTTATTTGAGAGAGAGAGAGAGCGGGAGGCGGAGCAGAGGGAGAGGGACAAGCAGACTCCGTGCTGAGCATGGAGCCCAGTGCAGGGCTCGATCCCAGGAACCTGAGATCATGACCCGAGCTGAAACCAAGAGTTGGTTGCTTAACTGACTGAGCCACCCAGGCGCCCCAAGCCCTAGGTTTTTTTTGTTTTGTTTTTTAATGTATATTTCTATTTCTCTAGTGTTATTTTATTTTTTAAAAGATTTTGCTTACTTGAGAAAGGGAAAGAGAGAAAGAGTGCACAAGGAGAGGGGAGGCGCAGAGGGAGAAGCAGATTCCCACTGAGTAGGGAGCCCAACGTGGGGCTCAATCCCAGGACCCTGGGATCACGACCTGAGCTGAAGGCAGACGCTTAACTGACTGAGTCACCCAGGTGCCCCTTTCTCTAGTTTTAAAGTTTGTTTCTTCACAGAAGACTTCCATTTACTTCTGTGATTTTTACACCATGACGACAGTGTGAAGTTTGGCCTCAAACTCACATGAGTGAAGCTTAGTGGTTAGAAATTCTCAGGGGAGAGTTTCCCTTTTTCTACCCAGAGCCAAAAGCATGAGTCTCCACCATCTCCCTCTTGAGAGTGTTTTCTGTTTCCTACTTGGGTCACTGAGATCTAAGCTTAAGTGAAGGTCTCTAAACAGGCCTCCCACCCTGCTCCAGCCTTACCTTCCCACCCCCACGTACTGGTCAGTTACCTAGGCTCTAAGCTACCACTGATGATTGGCAGGTATCCCACGTCCAGCAAGGGCTTTAGGCTTTTCTTAGAGTTCCCTTTTTTTCCCTGACAGTTCTTTAAAAATGACATTCTATTCAGCGACTTTAGCTGTGCCATACTGGGAAGGGTCTTTGTGAACATCTCATCTATCTTGTGGATTAACAGAATTCTTGGGTGTGGATTCTAGATATGAATCCTGAACACTCCACAGGGCATGGATCTGTCTCGTCTTTTTTCAACCTTCAGCTCCGTCCCTTCTAGGAACTTAGGTTACCTGCATAGAAGCTTCGTAAATCGGTGTCCAAACAGTTCTCCAGGAAGCGCCTCAGAGGTAGGATGTGCCCCACCGGGGCGGTCCAGTCTGTCAAGAAATCTTCCACAATGTGGTGGATGGCGGTGGGCCGAGGCAGGGCCCAGTCAGCAGGGCGGAACCTCACCTCCTGCTCTGTGGGTAGGAGAGAGGGAGTTGTGTCAGAGCCCGGAGGCTGGGCTTCCCATCCTGGAGCGGACAGCATGGTTCCCACACATCCCAGGTGCTTCCCTCGCTCCCTCGCGTTCAGCTTTCCCGACACACTCCGTGCTGGGCAGCGGCCAGCCTCTTCAATAGCCATCTGTGTGTTTGCAAGGCTGGCACAAGGAAGAGACTAGATCTGTTCCTTGTGGTATCAGAAAGCGGAACCAAGACTGATCACTCGCACTCCGTGTCTTTCTAAGGCGCACATGGACTGAGGTCCATTGTGACTGCTTCAAAACTGCTCTGTGAGGAGACTCAGAGGCCCGAGAGCTCACCTAGTCCAGCTTCGCACCTGGTGTGGGCTCCCTTCTGTGGCGTCCCAGGCCGACGGCCATTAAGCCATGACTCAACCATCCTGGCACTGGGAAACTCGATTTTAGGGGCGACCCATTACACTGTGGGACAGCTTTGACTAGTAGTTGCTTCCGATTCTGAATAGAATCCTGCATTCCTGTCACTGATACTACCTCTGCTTGTTTTTAGAGCATCATCTTCCAAGTGACAGCCCTTCAGTCTCTTAAGCAGGAGTCGTGTTCCCTGGGGGGGTGGGGGGGTGGGCAGGGAGGGTCATCTACTGGTAGCTACTCTGTGCCAGGTACTGTGCTGGTGTTTTGTTTTTTTTTTTTTTAGATTTTTATTTATTTTTTAAGTAATCTCTGCACCCAAAGTGGGGCTTGAATTCACAACCTCGAGATCAAGAGTCACATGCCCCACCGACTGAGCCAGCCAGGCACCCCACATTCTGTGTTATTTATGTCATTTATCCTACTGTTATCCCCATTTCTCAAATGAGGAAGTGGAGGCTCAGAGCGTTCAAGTAATGGTCCCTGGCCACACGGCAAGGAAAGCAGAGCTTGAGAACACTGCCTAGTTTTTCTGCGTTTTGGCAGCAGGCCTGTGTTGACCACTTCCAGCTCCTTTCCCCGTTCCCTCTGAGAGTTGGTCTCCAGGTCCCCTCCCGCTGCATGCTCGGCCTCCTTTGGAGACACACAGCAAGATGGTCCCTCTTACTATGTGGTGCCTGGAGGAGGTCACAACATTCCATGTGTGGCCTGCCCAGGTCACGGTATGCGCCAGAATCTGGGAACGCTGTTTCTTATTCCGGGACCTTCTGCCCCATTCGGTTTCTGGGCAGAGTCCCCCAGTGTCCTCTGTCAGCCGGGAGAGTTGTGTGAGAGGTGAGGTGTGACAGGAGAGAGACCCGCCCAGCTCCTGGAAGCCCGCGCTCGGGGGACAGCTGAGGCCCAGCTCACCGGTGGGGAGGTGCCTGTAGTAGTAGATGACGGGATGGAGGAAGTTAGACTGCCAGGCGTCTTCCGTGTGCCCCACAGACCGGTCATAAAAGAACACGTCCTTGTCGGGGCCAGAGAAGTTTCTGCCGTACTCCATGTTGATGACGAAGAGCCCATGCCTGGCCTTCCTTCCTGTAATGGTCTCCAGCTGGGCCAGCATCTGCATGGGGAACTCCTCCAGGTACTCAAATGCCGTGGCGTTCCTGGGGATAATGGGGGGTTGGCGCGACCCTGAGTGCCGCAGCAGAGCTGAGGGAGGCGTGTGCGTGTGTGCGCGCGTGTCTCTTGTACGGTGCACAGCCTCTGGTCATCCCCACGCACCTCATTTTACCATGACTGTCACAGCTGAGCTCTGGCTTACATTGGGACAGATCCCCGAAAACTCTGAGCAACCAGAAATGTATCTGGGGAAAGAGTGACCCAGGCTGAGAGAACAGTAACAGAAAAGCCCTGGGAGGGAGTGACTGCTTTGGTGTCTTCGAGGGACAGGAAAGAGGCCCGTGTGGCTGAAGGGGCCCTGGGCAGAGGGACAGGAGAGGGGCTCGGGGGTAGGTGAGGAGGGCTCATGTGTGCCCTGAGGGCTCCCAGCCCCTGGAGAGTCCTGAGCAGAGCTGATTGTGTGTGACTGGTGTTTTGAGAGGACCGCCAGGCTGCTGTGTGGAAAGCAGACCACGGGGCAAAGGCGGGAGGCCGCAGTTAGTTCAGGTGAGATGCTGGGCGTCTGGACCAAGGTGGCAGTACTGGAACTGGGGAGAGGCGGTCAGATTCTTGACATAATTTGAAGGTAGAGCTTACGGGGTTTATGGAGAGTCTGAATGTGGCGGATGGGAATGGAAGAGAGGAGTCAGGGTGATGGGATATCTTGTGCTGGGCGCTGTGAATGCCTTGTGTGTCCCTGAGCTTGGTGTGTGTGGCCCTCCCCGGCTTTGGGTCAGGCTTCTCCCGCTCCGACTGAGGGATTCCCCCTGCTTCTCACCTGCCACCTGTCCTCAGAGCGCCCTCACCCGCAGTCCTTCTCCCTCCCTGCTTTGCCGGGTGTCGCCTGTGATCTGCCACCTGTCACTTAACTGATAAGGAGCCAACACAGCCCTGGCCCAAGGGAGCCCGTCGATCCACACTGGTGGTACGCATCACTGTGGTTTACTGCTCACCCGCTTGGTGCCGACTGCGGGCTACCAGTGACCTTTACTCCTGCATGCAAGGTGTGATCATCCCCACTGTGCTGCTGAGAGAGAGGCTCAGAGAGGCTGAGTGACTTGGCCCAGGTCACCCAGGTAGAAAGTGACAGAGCTGGGATGCATACCCAGGTCTGTCTGCCTGCCTGTGGAGCCCGTGGTGTCGATTTCCCTGACGTTTTCCCCCAGAACGGATCTCCCCTGCCGCCCCCACCCCCCGCCCCCCGCCATGCAGGCTTCACCTTAGGAGGGGACCACCGGGCCACTCCATACCCGGAACAGGCAGAGAGGAGCTAGGACGGGGTGAATGGTGAAGCTGGGCTACTCACTCCTTCAACAGGACAACGTCGGCCAGCACACCGAACATCTGGTAGAGCCCAGAAGCCTCGTTCACGCGCCGGACGATGGAACTGGTCAGCTGTGAGATGGGGTGCTGGGTGGAGGGCCAAGCGACGCTGTGGTGGCGATGCTCCAGCAGGCGGTGAACAGCACGCACTGAAATCAGGCCAGAGGGAGGGACAGCATGCTGCCCTTAAGATCTGATCTTTCACTACCGGACACTGTCCAGTCCCCATGGACTTCTTGGAACTCAAGGCACGCTTGCCTGCGTGGCGCCGAGAGGATGCCTTTGGAGTGGGGTCCGCGAAAGCTTCCTACCAAGGGCTGGATGGACAGTGTTCTGGGCTTTGCTGCCCAGTCGGTCATGCTACTCAGTTCTGCTTCCGGGGCGAAAGCAGCCCTGGAGGGTAGCTGCAAGGGTGACGGGGCCAGCTCTGGCTCCAGGCCCCCACAGGACCCCTCCCAGCTGCTCTGCCAGCCCTGGACCCCATGCCTCCCTCTCACCCCGCTCCCCTGCCCACAGTTCCCCTTTCTCCCAGAGCCCCAGTGGGAGACCCTTTCAGCGCCCCCTCTCCTCCACTGCCTGCATCCGAACTGTCATGGAGTCCGAGTGACCCAAGAGCAGAAAAGCGAGAGCTATCCCTCTACACAGGGTCGGGGAACGCCAGAGCTAGTGGAGCGTGGGGGGGGGGGGCCCTGACGAAAGGGGCTACCATCTCCAGAGAGCCTAGCCCATTCTGGGGAGCAGGTAGGGACCAGGCTGGAAAGGTGAGGTGGCCCGGGCCTGGCAGAGCTTGGAATGGCACGCCGAGGAGCTCCCCCAGCTCTCGCAGGGGAGGTGGGGAGCTGCGCAGAGACGCTTAAGCTATAAGCACAGGGAAGGCAAGATTTTGTTTCAGGAAAGGGTGTTGCGGAGGGGACCGTGTGGCTGGATGGGAAGCCAGAGAGACCTGCAGTGGCAGGAAGACCAGTCAGGAGAGACGAAGAAGCCGTGGGTCAGGAGATGGAGGCGGTGGGCTGACAGAGATACAGCAGGGGGACGGACGGGCTGGGCGTCCGGAATAACCGGCCACGCGGTATTGTTCTGCGCCCTTCCTAGTTTCTCTTCTGTTGGCTTCCTCTGCCTTACTGAATGCTTCTGGTCTCCCCTGGGACCGGTTTCTCAGGTTGGAGCAGGATGAGCGGGATGTGCGTAGCCACACCGGCCCTCCCCCAGCAGGGCCCTCCGCTCGGCTTGTGGTAGTGACCACACAGCGGCCGCTGCCTGAGCGCCTGAGACTGTTGCCCCACGTGCCCGAAGCTTAGTGGTTGGCTGTGAGCTTAAGGGTCAGACACGTGTGGATTCAAATTACCCTTCTGCCATCCACTGGCTGGGTGACTTGGGGGAAGTTACTTAAGTTCTCTGTGCCCTAGTTTCCTTATCTGGAAATGGAGCAGAAATGACAGGATCTGCGGATTTCGTATTGGCACTAAAGGGACAGACTCTTCCATTCCGGGTGTGTGTGTGTGTGTGTGTGTGGTGTGGTGTGTGTGGGTGTGTCTGTGTGTGTGGGTGTGGTGTGTGTGTTCGATGTGTGTGTGTCTGTGTGTGCCTGTGTGTGTTCGATCTGTGGATGTGTGTGTGTGTGTGTGTGTGTGTGTGTGTGTGTTTGATCTGTGGATGTGTATGTGTTCGATCTGTGAATGTCCATTCCGGGTGTGTGTGTGTGTGTGTGTGTGTGTGTTTGATCTGTGGATGTTCATTCCGGGGGTGTGTGTGTGTTTGATCTGTGGATGTCCTGGCTAACACTCTCTCTCTGGTTTCCTTCTCTGACCACTTGCATGGGACATAAAATATATCATCTGGAAATCAAACATGGCTACCTTCCCCTGCCAAACTGGAAGGACAGTAAAATGCAAAAATGAGTATTAAGCCAATGGAAGTCATCAAATTAAATACAGAAATGCTGGGATGCAGGATGCAGGGTGCTTCAGGTGTTTGTGGCAAAATCAACTAACTGGCCCTTGTTAACACTCGCCCACCCAGCAGCCTGCCTGGAGTGCAGAACATTTATGCCCTCAGAACTGATGTAATCCAATTGTAATTTTTACTGAAATTTGTGGGTACCCAAAGAATCTGTGCATGATGCTTCATAGCTACAAGGTTCCCAGGTATTATCTTAGTTTGTCCTTAAGACAGCCCTGCGAGGGCGGAGAGTTCACCTCGTTTATGCCTCTGACGCCACGCCATCCAAAAGAGGGTTACGGAGAGGTCACGAAGCCTCACCTCTAGACCGCTCTGCTAGGGAGGAACCCCCACGAGCACTCCTCCAGCTCTGCCTTCTTGCCAATGCATGCTGCTTGACTGGCACAGGGCTTCAGCATGTAATATGCTACCCCCAGATGTACTTGCTTTCACACCTCATCTGACGCTTTTCTAGATCTATCCTCAGCCCACGAAGACCTGTTGCCCTCTGTCCCAAACAGGGGAATTTAAGACAATCGACTACCGACAAGCACTCCCATGAAGGCTGCTGCAAATCAGGTTACGTTTACAAAGCCTAGGGATGGTTCTCTCTGCCGGGCTCACCTGTGTATCGGAATCCATGAATGAAGCCCCCGGCAGACTTCCGGTAATCCACAGAGTGGCTGGCGGTGCCCAGCACAAAGAGGCCCCGGCTTCCTTTGGACTCATAGCTAGCTTTGACCAGCGGGTACTTCTTGCTGAACTCACCCCCAGAAGACAGTCGGAGGGACCTGTGAGTAGAAAGCGTTGTTAATAAAAATCACTGCTGTGTATGAAACGCTTACTATGTGCTCCTCACTGAGCTAAGCGTACGTCATGCTTTATATTGCTTATTGTGTTGAAACCACACCAGGACCCTAGGAGCCGGGTATGATGATCTCTGTTTAACAGATGGAGTAATTATTGAGGCTCAGGGTGAAGATGTGGTGGGTCGGGGACAGAGCCAGGATTCGAGCCTGACTTGAGGCTAGGCTCTGGGCTCCGACCGGGCCCTGGGGGACCTGCTGGGCAGGGGTCTGCTTCAGGCCCTCCAGGTTCTCCTTGTCTGCCTGCGCCTTGGCCAGGGGAAAGTGAGACACTGGACGGATTCTTTGATACCAAGCCTTGCCAAGGTACCTGGGGCAGCAACGTCTCAAGCAAAGCAGTCGAACACGCAATTATAAGTGAAGTTGGCAGCTACCATTTTATGAAGCGTATAGTCTATGCCGAGTACTTATTCTGCCTGATGCCCCCTTTCCCGTCTCTCGGGTGGAAGATCACGACGCAGATGAAGACCCACTGCTGCTGCTGCTCCAGGATGGAGGGCCTCTGGGCCACCCATCCTTGTGAGGACAGTGAGCTCACGTCCTGGGCAAGGGACCAGGCAGCACCCATGTCCACTCTGACGGTGCCATCCTGAAAGCCCTGCTGCTAGCCCATGGGATGGTGACTCTCTGCCGCCGGGGAGGTGTCAGAAGGGGTTCATGAAGTGACCCCAGCTCCACCCCTGTGTGGACTCACTTGTTGAAAATGGAGAAGTCGAAGTTCCAGCCCAGGCAGCGGATGACCCGGTCGTAGGCCACGCGCATGGCAAAGTTGTCGCTGTCGTCCTGGGGGAGGGTGATGGCGTCGGCACTCTGGTTGCCTTCCTCCAGGAAGAACTTCAGGGTGACGTGGAATTTGCCCTCGCGGTCCTTCACGACAGCCAGATCCGTCAGGTCGGACTCAAGCAACCCATCCAAGGACTTCAGCTGGTAGGTGTCCAGCAGGCCATTGTTGATGGCCCTGGGGCCCGAGGGAAACGCCAGGAGAGAGAAAGGAGTCTGAATGGGGCACAAGGAGATTCAGAGGAAGGGGCACTTGTTCCAGTGGGGTCAGGAATGGCTCTCAAGGGGGCTGGTGGTACGGAATCCATGAGCAGCTCATAGCGTACCTGAGGTCTCCTACGTAGTGGGTGGCCCATGACAGTCGGACCCGGGAGCGGCTCAGCATGTGGATAAAGTTGGTGACACCCAAGATGTTCTCTGCTGTCTCAAAGGCAGAGTTCCCACGCCCCAGGATCAGCACATTCTGACCCTCGAAGTCCTTGGGGTCCACGGACACAGACTCGTACCCCTCTACATATTCAGAGCCAGGGAAGTCAACCTGGTTGGGGACTGACAAACCGGTGGCCACAAGAAGCACACTGCAGGGAAGGGACAGATGGAAGACGGCTTAGTTTCTGAGCTGGAAGACCACGACGTGAAACTCACTCCCTGCCCCTGCTGCCTGGCTGGCCCGCCTCCCCCAGGCTGCTGGCTCCTAAAAAATCCACAGGAGAATGTCCCTTCATTCATCCGTTTACTGACCTATCCCAAAGTATCCGAGAGACATCACCCTTGCCCCTCCCGGGCCCACTCCAGTGGATGGTTCCCTTTACCCCGTACCGGGATGATGCCAAACACAAGAATTAGTCCAACTCTCTGAGAAGGGGACACATGAGAACTTGAACAATTCCCCTAATGTTGAACACAGCAGTTAGGCCAAGTGTGGCTCTCAGTGGTGAAAATGAAACTTGGCGGTCCACTTTCCTTTTTCTGACAGCTGGGCAGATGCAGGGGACTGCCGAGCAGGAGTTCCGTCTCAGGCCCCTCCCGAGTGTTTCGTGCATCATCTCATTGCCTAAAGAAGCCCTGAGTTGGTGTTATTTGACCTGCTTTACAGGTGAGGAGACACAGGCCCTGTGGGTCTATGGCCTCCCAAGCTCCTAGGACAGCAAAGCCAGAATCCGAAATCAGATGGGCGTGATTCATGCTGGCGGGCATTACCTTCCTGTGCGGGGCAGCCAGGCACTGGCTCCTGCTGCCTGCAGGATAGTTTGATTACAGGCGGTTTTGAAAACAGAACCGCATGGCCCGTAGAAGACATCGCACCCCCTATGGCTCCTTGTTTTCTCACCCTTGCCCACCCAGCTGAGCTCTGAATCTCCTACGCTGTTGCCCGACTGTCTAAAACGCGAGGGTCCCAAGCTGACAGACCCCTTCTTTCCCTGGGCTGGAACAAGTAAGGGGCAAGGCTGGGCCTCCGGCGAAGGGCCTGAGAAGATGAACTCCGGGCACTTGCCTGGAGCCAAGTGGCAGCCCCATAGCCGGGAAGGGAAAGGCAGTCTGGTGTAGCAGAAAGAGCACAGGCTTCGGGGTCAGGAAGACACAGGCTCAGAATGTGTGACATAGCACCAGTGACTTAACTTCTCTGGGCCTCAGCTCTTCATCTGTAAAACGAGGATCAGTGAACTGCCCCCAGGGTCCTTGTGAAGACTGAATCAGGGCAGTACAGTGTGTGACTCTGAGTTTGGGCTGTCTACACAACATTAAGCTTTCTCCCAAGCCAAAGCAAGCTAAAACTGATTGCTGGCAGCCCTGCCTGTGGGGCCTCCCACTCTAGTTCAGATCTGAAATCCCACTGAGCCCATCTAACACTTGTGGGACACTTTCCCCGGAATGTCTTCTGAGGAACACTAGTTCTAGGAGGTGCTCTTCAGAAAGGGCTTTGTGGGTACATAAGCTAGACGATGCTGAATACCCAAGGTTGGTGTCACAGTGAACGTGACAAATGGATAAAAATCTCTAAAAAAAAAAAAAATTATTCTCTCATTTCTTCCCCATGTACCGTCCACCAAGGGGTGCCAGCAGGTCAGCTCTAGGATGGGTTCCTTACCTGCACCGGTGTGCGTGACCCATCCCGTCGGTCAGGATGAAGTAATGGCCGTTCCAGGCCTGCCGGTCCTTGTTCAGAGTGACGTGGGCAATGGTTGTGTTGTACAGCACGTGGAGCCCCAGCCGGTCTGCGAAGTCGTCCAGGTAGCGCACCATGTCGCCCGCGTCGGGGAAGTAGGCGCGGGAGTAGTGTCTGAAGAGCAGCCGGGGGTCGTGGCTGAGCAGAGAGTTCCAGTCGTGGCGCAGATTGAACTCGGCGTTGGCCTTGCCCGTGTGCCGCTTGTTGATGCTGATGAGCTTGCGGTGGCGCGGGTAGCGCGTGAAGAAGCTGCCGGGCCGCGGGGCGCGCTCGAACACCGCGTAGTCCCTCCCGGCCCGCTGCAGGAAGTAGGCCATCTGCAGGCCCGCGGGCCCCGCGCCCAGGACGCAGTAGTCCCGGTGACGGGGCGCCGAGGTCTGGGCTGGGCGCAGGCACAGAGCCGGGTGCAGGACGAAGGTCAGGAGCAGCCCCGGCGGGCCCCACAGCCGGGCCGCAGCCGAGAAGCCCATCCTGCGGCAGACCACGGATGTGAGGCCTCGCACCCTGGATGGCCCCTCGAGGCCCGGGGAGATGGGAGAGGGGCAGGGGCTCACCTGGCCGCTCACCGCAATCTGAGGTTGAGCCGGGACCGGAACCCAAGGTCCTCTGAGCTCATCTGCCTGCCCCCATCCTTTCAAGCTCGGATCTGGGGCTCCCCCCAGGAAATCCGAACGCCTCCATCTCCTCCAGGGCCTCGGTTCCCAGGAGCGCCACCCCCGTTCTTACTGCCATGGTAGTACGAGGGTGGGTGTTCCCCCACTCTTCCCCTAATTTAAGGGGTGCCCAACACCCTTCCCGAGCCCTCCCCAGCTTAGACCCTCGGAGGGGGCCGGTCTCTTAGGCCCCGCCCCGCCCTGGAGACCGAAGGAGGTGTGGCCTCCGGGCCACGCCCCCGCCAGGTGCCCGGCGCGCCGCACTCCTCGATCACGTGACAGGGATGGCCCCCGCACACCTGCCGCCACGCGACGCAAGGCCACACTCCTGCCGGCGCGCGCTCTCTGGGGGCCAATCTCCGCGCGTGCGCGGTGCCCACGCCTACAGCGCCTGCCTCTCGGCACCGAGCGCAGACCTCTCAGCCGCGCGGGAGACAGCCCGCAGTCGACTGAGGCCGCGCTCTGCCCGCCGGCGCGGCGGCGGCCCCGCCCCTCCCGTCCGGCCAATGGCAGGGGGCGGAGTCACGTGCGCGGCGCGCGGCACGCCGGGAGGGGCGGGGCGGCCGCGGGCTCCTGGCGGCGCGGGACAGGCGTGCACGTGTTGCCCGGGGGCCAGAGGGTCTGGCGCCGCTGGGGTTCGGGTCGCGCTGGGGCGCAGGGCTCTTGTGTTAAAGCTGTACCTCTCCACGTGCAGGGGAGGCACGGGAGCAGATGACTTTGGTCTTACATTCCACCATTAACGTAGCCAGACACTCGTTGGCTACCCAGTTTTGGGGGACTGGAAACCAGGTCGACGTCAGGACAGAAAAAAGCAACAGGTGTTTGCTACAGTGATTCAGTCTGTTGTTTGCTAAGTAACATGCATGACTGGCTGGCAGTCTCACCAACCAGGAGAGGTAGGCGATTCTGTTCCCCACATTCTGTCGTCACTGGCCAAATGGAGGTTTAGCAGTGATTTGCCTGAGACCAAACGGTTAAGTGGAACTTGGAATTAACCCCCCGCCCCGCTTACGCCAAGTTGTGAGCTCTTTCCAAAAAGTTTATTCGTCATGTTTTGCATTCTTGGTAATGTTGTAAACAAAGTGGCCCATGATAGGCCAGTGTAGACACAAACCCGCTGCTCATGCCCAGCAACTGGTATGGCTGCGGAGGGAACGTGAACCGCAGGAGGATGATCCTGAGCCACCGTTCAGGTGAACTGGTTGATCGAGGCTGGTTTTGCACAGGTGGAATGTGGACCCTGCTTTAGATTTACAGGGGCAGAATGTATGCCATTTTGAGAGAGGTACAGGAAACTTCAAGGGGCATTAAGAAGTCCAGTGATATGGGGCTGAGGGTTCTCATGGAAGGCAGCCATGCCTGGTGTGGAAAGAACTCGATGGTCTAACTGCATGGCTGGAACTTCTTTTTATTAAAAATTGTCCCTGGGACCTCTCTAGAGAAGTCTTCCCCGACCTCTCGAACAAAGTATCCACTAGGGAGTGCCACTTATCTATTTATAGCCTGTATCTGCTTCAGAGAAAAGGTCCACAGAGCAGAAATGATCTTACTCACTCTGGTGACCTCAGGGCTTCCTCCAGGATCTGGCATACAGCAAGCCATCAGGAAGCATTTGTTGAATAAACTGTGAAACCAGACAGGCTATGCAAAGTACCTTACCAAAAATAAAAAGGTCTACTCAGTTGTTGTGAAGATGTGAGAATGCGTGCTGGCAAATAAAATTAAGTACCCGAATTAATTGTTGGTCTTATTTGGTTAGTAGAGGGAAGTCAGGACTGATAAAGTGTGGCAGGGCCTTGACAGTGGGCTGACAGGCAGGGGGATGCGGTGGAAGGTTTGAGTCAGGACTGAAGCCATCAGCTTGATGGCCCCACGCAGGACGGGTAAAGTAGGGGACAGATAAATGAAGCAAGTGGAAGCTGGTGCATTTTTTAGGGCCCAAGGCTGAAACTGACTTCCACCTGCCCACTCATCTCAGCTAATCCTGCTGGACTGCACCATGGGTCTGCAAGAGGCAGTTTGGTGAGGCCCAGGCCCAACTCTGAAACTCCATGGCACTTGTCACTATATTTTTAACATGTGCTTTTTATAATCTACCTATCTTGAAGACTTCCCAAGAGGCATGTTGCATGCCCTAACTTTAGCAAAACCAGTGTTTGGTTGCTTTCTGAGGCTCATTATTATTTTTTAAAGTTTTATTTGAGAGAGAGAGCATGAACAGGGGGAAGGGCAGAGGCAGAGGGACAAGCAGACTTCCCACTGAGCGGGGAGCCTGATAGGGGGCTCAGTCCCAGGACCCTGACATCATGACCTAAGCCAAAGGCAGATGCTTAACTGAGTGAGCCACCCAGGCGCCCCTGAGGCTCAATTATTTTGATTAAAATAGTAACTTCAGGAATGTTACTCAAAAGCTGAGCCTGTTTCCTCATCATACAATGACACCACTTCGACCAGCATTCTAGTTCTGGGTCAGGCTCAGATGAGGTATTTATAGAAAACTTAGTATAATACCTGGCGGGGTATTATACTGGTTCAAACCATCAAGAATAGGACACTATCCACTTATAAAAAGTTTACGTATCCTAAACATTCTGTAGCTGATTTACAACACACTGCTTTGAGAGTGCTGGCTTGGGACTCGGTGACCAGCCCAAACCAAGCTCGAAAACAATTTACAAACCAGTGATCACCACCAAGTGGAACATCCATCAGAATCTTCTGGGGCAGTCTCCTTCATATGAAGCATACCCACCTCAACCTTCAAACACTGTGCCCTGCTTTCCCTTTTACTAGGGATCTGTGTCTCTAAGGGCAGCAGCTGGGTCTGGCACACAGCCAGCAGGCACCCCTGCCAGTAGAAACGGACCTCTTGTGGGGACCGCCACAATGTGCCTCACAACCTACAGCCATCCCAGCAAAGGATCATGTCACGCGGTTCCAAGAACAAAAACATCTAGGACATTCACCCTCTAACAGGAAGTGTAAAATGAATAATACTCAAGAACAAAAAAAGGAGCCCTGATTCCTTGTGGACATAGAACACGGCTGTATCTCACCCTCCCTCGCCCAAGAGCTACTGGGGGAAGGAAGAGGGGCTGCCAATCAACGTAAGCACACGATGAAGGAGAGAGACTAAATAGTTATACTTTATTCCACCGTCAAACTTCAGACAGCAAGAATCTGGCAAGCATGCCACTGAGCATCCAAAGACCTTCTAGGCTCAGTGGAATCAAACTCCAGCTTCACATCACCGTCTGGTTTAAGTTTCTTCCTCTGAAAGACACAAAACGTTAGAGAAAGGAGCCACGTCACACTGGTGAAGTGCTTGATTTTCACCAGCTCCCCTCGGAAGGTAAGCCTTTCGGATAGTCATGGGGCTAACAGGAATTCCCTTCAGTCACCAGCTGGTGGTGAATGAAGCAGCAAAGAGGCAGTCTGGGGCCCGTGTAACTAGCCCAGAGTATCTTTTCTCCTTCAGACCACGGGCTAACCATTCCACTGCCTTTCCCTCAATGCTTCTTCCTCACCCTAGCCTCTAAAAGGTCCGTCTCCCCCCTGGGCCCCTCATATGATTTCAAGGTGCTTGAAGCAGCTCCTGGCTCCAGAGTGAAGGCTGCTCCAAAGTCTAGTCTCAGAGAACTCTTAGGAAGTTCCACATCAGGGCTCCGGAGAGAAGGGTGGCTACAGCGCTTGGTCCCTAGCCTACAGCTAAGTCTAGACTTCAGGAAGAGGCCTGCTACACACCTTCCTCTTCCTCCTCCTCTTCCTCCTCCTCCTCATCGTCCTCATCAGAGCTGAACGTCCCGTCGGGCAGGCTGTAGACGCGGATGACCTGCTTGTTGGGGTCCTTGAGGATGAGGTACTTGCCCTCCTCCAGCTTCATGCAGATGTCGATGACACAGCGCAGGATGCCCCAGGCGTTCTCCACGCTCAGGTTGATCTGGCTGGCAAACTCATTGGGCTTGAACTGCTGGGTGCCCAGGATGACGTGGCGCGAGGAGTCTTTCACGTGGTACCGGGACACGTAACTAGCGGGGGGGGGGGGGGGGGGGTTTTAAGGGGGGGGGGGGCCGCACAGAGGGACAGCAACACCCGGTGCCAAGGAGCAGTTCTTCCCAAGGGAGAGGGGAGAGGCGAGCCCAGCCCGCAGACCCCTCCTTGCTGCAGATGAATTCAGGACCTCCGGACCCGAATCTCACCCAAGTTTGAGATACTCCGATCCGGCCAGCAAAGCGCAGCACGTCCATCGGGCCAACTTGTAGCTGTTGTTCTTCAGCTCAGTGGCAATGACAGCCCCTCGCTGAGAGTCCAGCTTCTGACGCCAGTCAACGCCGTTGCAGTGCTGCGGGAGGCAAGCCGGGCCCAGGAGTGAATGGGGGCCCCTACTGCCTGAGGCCTGGGACCTCCTCCAGCAGAGAAGGCACTCCTTTGTGGGCTTGGTTCGGAAGAGGGGGGAGTCCGCAGGTAAATCACAGGCAAGGCTGTCACCAGGAAGGCGGCAAAGACACGGCCCCCTCCGCGCAGTGGGCACCCAGCCAACTGTAACTCCTCTAGTCTAGACCGGGACCCACGCGTGCCCAGTGACACAAGTGCCATATGAATGGCAGGGGCAAGCATTGACTGTGTACTGTGTGGGAAGGGAGGGCTCCCTGGAGGCAATGCAATGGCTCACCCAGGGAGGGGCACTGACGGAGGCTGGAGGTGGCGTGCCGGGAGAGGCACAGAGGGGAAAAGACAGGCCACAGGCTGGGGCAGCCTTGGGTGGGGGTGGAGACCGCAGAGGGGAGGCCAAGGCCTGACCTTGCGTATATACACGT